CTCCTCTCACGACCCCTCTCGTGGGCCCTCAAGACGAGCTTACACTTTCACGGTCAAATCAAGCCAGATCGACCACACAATCAACAACATCTAAGTGACAACCGTTTCATATTTAATATCTAATTGAATCAAATTGAATCCAAATATTATAATTTGATTTGATTCTCGAAACGATTGGAATTGGAGTATCCCAGATGGTTTTTCAACTATGCTTTAAATACGGTTGAGCCGAAGCAACATAGCAAGATCAACATTGAATTATTATTACTAAAATTGTGAAGTTTATTCAATCTTAACCCACACAAAAACGGTTACGATTTTTATCGACGCCAAAACGCAAAATATTAGTTATAGATTTGACAAACATATTTGAATCGTAAATCATACAAACTGCTTCCCGAAAGCCCAAATTCCACCAAATTGCCTGATACAATTTCAAGAAGGTGTCCCACTAAGTTTGTCCAGATTGATAGCTCCAAGATTCCAATAGCCACTTCACACGATTCGTCGATGCCCGCCACGACCCGAGGCAGAGAAAGAGAAAGCACGTGACTGCTCTTCATCAGTCATAAGATGACGGTTCTGTAGTCCAACAGGGTCTCTGACAGCAACACAACAAATGTAAAATCCAAGACATCATTGCACATGCATACAGTACGGCTGCTATCCTAACTGCGCCAACACTTGCTTGCACTGCATGCTAAGCTAACGATACCACACACCTTCTAACTTTCATGGCTTAGATCCAGTCAGTCCTCTCTCACTGGTTGTTGATTCAACAGGGAGCTGCAGCCGTTGGGTCAAACACTTATTTAGGTTAACTGAATCATTAATTTTGTCTGATTTAAATTATTAATCAAAATATTTAAATTAAAATTAATAATAATAATAATAATATATTCATAAAATCTTTAATTTTATTTACTTTTAAAATTAATCGAATATAAAACATATAACAAAATTGCCACGTGCCACAGCACCAACCGAATGCGTCGGTGGAAACATAACAACCAGTTACGAACGCGCGCTCTCTATCTCTCTTCCCTTCGCATCCCTCGTTCAAATTTCAAAACGCGGCCATTCAAATTTCAGTAGAAAGCGACTCACCTCTTGTCGTTTTCTTGAGTCATGCTTTAAAATTCCCAAATTTTGTTTGATGCAACCGACAGCAGCGAGTCAACAAAAGCTGACCGTTGCTGTCAAACAAAACAACTAAATCAACCCGAGCCAAAGCGCACCACCCCATCAGCGACACGCGAAGCGATCGAAAGGGCAGAGGCGAGACAACCAGCTTAAACGCCACATCAAAAGCAAACCCGAACCAAACAAAGAGGCACACAGTACCAGAACAAACACAGAAGAAAGAAAGGGAACAGCTTTGCCTCTGCCTGCCCACTAAGGCTCCATCCGTGTGTGGCCCCCTCCCCCTCCTGCAAACCCACATGCAACCTCATCCCGTGGTGTCAGGCTTCCTCCTCCTGCTGCCGCCCTGCCACCCTTCAATGATTCTTACCCGTTCGTTTCCCCCGTTCGGCCGGTCATCTTCAACCACGGCAAGAACCCTAAAGAAAAAGATGGGACGAAGAGGAACAGAAATGGTTTCTCTTAAACTACACAAGGAAATGAAGAGAAGCAATACAAAAAGAAGAACAAATCCACGTAGTCTCAGAACAAGGTCCAAATCACAACAGATCAACAGCACCACCGCCATAACCATCCCAGACTAACAAATAAAATTATCTAAAAGGAGACGAGGAGGAGCAAAACGTAGGACCAAAGCAGAGAAGGCAAACGATTCCCACACTCGGTATCTCTCGCACGCTGCTGATTTGTCTCACGGCAGAGAAGCCATCGCCAAGGTTGCCAAGACCACTGCGACGGTCGCCAGGGTTCCGATCGGCGTCGCCACCCCGACCGCCGATTTTACGTCCGCCTTGTCCGCTGCGGCCGCCGGAGCGTCCGAGGGAGCTGATTCCGGGGACGCCATCGGCGGGGCCGGGGGTGAATGATGCTTCTTGTGGGACTTCGGCGACGGTGCTTTGGCCACGGGGGTGGGGGCCGGGGCCTCGACGGGGGATGTCGATGGAGATGGTGTGGGAGCCGGAGATGGCGCCGCTCCGAAGAGCTCGATGGGGAGGAGGAGGTTGTCGACGGTGAGGATGCACACGGGGGTGTCGTCGAGCACCGTGCTGGCGACGCGGGAGGTGTCTACACCGGTGTCGAGCGACACGTCGTCGCCGCGGGAGACGACGGAGAGGTCGTACTTGCCGGCGGCGCTGGATGCCATGGTGGGGAGCCGGCCGCCGACGGACTTGAGCGACGCCTTGGGAGTGTAGGAAGGCAGCGCGTGGTACTGGAGGAGCGTCACGAGCTCGGCGCTGGAGAGGGAGTTCAGATCCGGCGCATCTGTCGCCTTGAACGCTTCGTCATTGGGGGCGAAAAGCGTGAGGCCCTTGGCCATGGCGTCCTGGAAGACCTTGAGCACGCCGGAGGTGGTCAGCAGCCGGGCGAAGGTTTTGCACCCGGCTTTCTCGAGAAGGGCGGTGAGGTTGGAGGAGGCGGCGGTGGGGGTGTCGAGGAGGCCCGGGAAGACGATGGGGGCGGAGACGGCGAGGACGGAGAGGTTGTAAGGGATCTGCTCGATGGACTTGGTGTAGGTGGAGTCGAACTTGGAGCCGGGGGCGGTGGAGGCAAAGCCGACACGGCCGCCGCGGAGGTTGGTGATGTTGACGAACCCGAGGTTGCCGGCCTCGTTGCCAGTGGTCTGGAGCAGGGTGGTGGTGAGGGTCGTGCCGCTGGAGAGGGCGTGGAGCTTAGGGGGGTCGAAGTAGTCGAGCAGGGCGAGGAGGCGGAGGGCGTTCTTGATGGCGGCGAGGGGGCGCTTGGCGGCGAGGGTGGACATGGCGCCGTCGTCGAGGACGAGGCAGGTGACGGTCTCGTGGGCGTTGATCTCATCGCACACCTTGGTCCGGGTCAAGTAGCTGTTGTACAGCGTATACTCCGGGTAGCGCTCAAGGATGGCGGTGATGTTGTGCGCCCTGCAGCCCGCCCACGGTCCGCAAAGCAACACCAGCAGCAACAACACGGAGGAGATCATCGCGTTCTTCTTTGTCGTCATGGCCCCGGCCGTCGCTCCTTCCCGCTCCGCCTTCACTCTCGCTGCCTCGCCGCCTCTTTAAACTGCAGTGGTGTCGGTGGGAGGCAGTGTGAGTAAGAATGAGCTGCAACGCGCCCGCGTGTGGCGACAATGAAGGAGTAAAGCAGCAATAAGAGAAGCGACCGGGGGGTGCAGGATTGATTGAGCTAACCAGGGTTAAAACGAGAGAATGCATCGGAGTCGGTGAGTACGGTGAAAGAAGAGGCAGGGAAGCAATGTGAGGCACGTGATTGCCGCCGAAAGCGGCGTAGAATAGAGCCGTTGGTGTGTGTAGGGCGCCACTCGTTCTCCGCATTGGATTCTCCAGTGCGGGCGATCCGTGTCGTCCATTTTGACGGTTCCCTGAGAGCGTGGTAAGTTGGTGCGTCCCCTCATAGAAGTTTCTGGGCGGACGTATGCAAGTTTGCGCCGTAAAGAGGACGTCGACGTCGGTCCGTCATACGATATTAACATACATGCACATAATACGTTAGTCTGCACATAAGAAAGCTAAAGTGCGGTCTATTTCCTACTTTATTCAAGCTTAAGCTTCTAAACTTTGTCAATTTATACTGATATATATACATAAATATAGATATAATTATGGCACCTTTTGGTACAACATCGAGACGCATAGGCGTGCAATCATTTCAGCGACTGGTCTCACGTTCAGGCTATCACCCCTTGGTTCAACCGGAGACGTGCTTCCCATCCATTGTCAAGCTGTTCTCGAGTTGGTCGGTTCTTTCGCCAGCTGTGTTGTGTTCAATTGTTCTATGTTTACAGATAAAAGAAGGCTTAACAAGTACTTTAGGGAAAATGCCGCTTTTGAGAAACTGATTTCATCTATAAACAAACACATAGTTTTTCATTTCATGCTTTTATCGAGAGCTGCATATATGATCTTTTCATTTGGTACTGTTTTACGTGAATAGAAACGTCAAGAGAGAAGAGAGTGAGGTTGGTGTAAAGGATACCCACCAGAGGATTTGAGGAGCTATCTGCCGCCTCTAATCCAACGTTCAAATTGCAGTAACCACGCCTCTAATCCACTGATGTTGGCTGATAGATCAATCGGTCGAGTCACGAAATGACACGTAGGTGACAAAACGAAGACCGGCAGGTGAAGCACACAAGTCGACTTTTGTGGACGGTGATGTTGGGTATGGCTCGTGATGGGCCGAGCCCTCATGCGTCATGGAAACCCAACTTTGGGCCGATGCCAAGCCCAATGGCCAGTTATCGTCCCATTGGATACGTGTCCCGCTGCGAGTTCAACTCAAGCTATTGGTTTTTCTATTATTTATTTATTTTTCACGACAGAGTCATGGAAATCCAAAAGTGGCCCACTCATTGAATCACAAATGAAGCAGTCTCAGACGGTCAAAGTCACAAGGCATGAGAGAGAGAGAGAGAGAGAGAGAGAGAGAGAGTATCCAACCTCGCCTCGCCCTCTCGTCTTTATGGGTTGGATCCTTTCCTCGGTGTTCCCGTGGGCATTCCCACGCGCAAATCTCTCTCGCCTCCACTCTCCCCACCACACAAACACCTCCCCCACCCTCTCCTGATTCCACCCGTGAGCGACATCTCTCACAGTTCGCATCACCCACACCCCACCCCACCCCGATGGATGCCATCCACGAACAGTATTCATCGACCAACCACACCCCATCATCACGTTAATAGAAGAAAAGGATGGGTCTAAATGCATGCACACGTTAATAGAAGATCCCATGTTGACATGCATACTCGCGTTCGTACAACTGGACGTCCGGGGAATCCATATATAGTCTCTTCCAACAGCTAATTTGTGGCACCAGACTGTCATGGACCTTCGCTGAGGTCCCCAGACTTGCCATCAAAAATGGCTTCTGCGCCTTCTCCTCCGGCCGGCCAACCCTTTGTGGACATCCACACGGTGCTGAGCGACTGCAACGATGGCCTTGCCAACCTCCGAGATGGGCAGCAGCCTATCCGAGCAGGTGCAGCAGGAGGAGGCAGCTCAGGAGAGGAGAAGAAGCCAATGCCGCTACTTGCGCGGCAGATCTCCCTGGAAAGCGGCATCGCCGTGCTTGACACAGGGAAGGAGATAAAGCGTGGAAGCAGCAGAAAGGCCAAAGCGGATAACCGGGTATTGTCGCGGAATGGGAAGAGCTTAGGAGGCCTGAGCGCCGTCGGCGGGGATGCCGCCCACCGAAAAGGAGACTTCAACATATTTCGGACGAAATCGACGCTCGGATCAAGGCAGAATTCCTTGTTGCCATCGAGAAGGGAGAACGGGCCAGATCTGCACCGCGCCGATGGCGCCCCCGGATCAGCCGGAATGGAGGACAGAGTTAACGAAAGCGTCCCCGCGGGAAGATACTTTGCCGCACTTCGAGGACCGGAGCTCGACCAAGTCAGGGTAATCAAGAGTAATTCCTAATGGCCGTGCAGTTCTAATGATGCCTACAATACGTCGGGTCGCATGTATCAGATGTCGTCTAATTGTCTCTCGCGCAGGACTACGAAGACATCCTCCTGCCGAAGGACGAGGTGTGGCCGTTCCTCCTCCGCTTTCCGATCGGGTGCTTCGGTATGTGTCTCGGCCTCGGGAGCCAGGCCATCCTGTGGGGCGCCCTGGCGACAAGCCCGGCCATGGCGTTCCTCCACGTGACCCCAGACATCAACTTCGCTCTGTGGCTCATTGCGCTCGCCGTCTTCGTCGCCGTCGCCGTCACCTACACACTTAAATGCATCTTCTACTTCGAGGCCGTACGCCGCGAGTACTTCCACCCCGTCCGAGTGAACTTCTTCTTCGCACCGTGGATCGCCTGCATGTTCCTGGCCATCGGCACCCCGCCCAGGATTGCGCCCAAGCTGCTTCACCCCGCCACCTGGTGCACCTTCATCGCGCCCGTCTTCGTCCTCGAGATCAAGATCTACGGGCAATGGCTGTCGGGAGGGAAGCGCCGGCTGTCCAAGGTGGCCAACCCGTCGTCCCACCTCTCGGTGGTGGGCAACTTCGTCGGGGCGATCCTGGCGGCCAGGGTAGGGTGGGAGGAGGCCGGCAAGTTCCTGTGGGCGGTGGGGCTGGCGCATTATCTGTGCGTGTTCGTGACCCTCTACCAGAGGCTGCCGACCAGCGAGGCCTTGCCCAAGGAGCTGCACCCGGTGTACTCCATGTTCATCGCGACGCCGTCGGCGGCGAGCATCGCGTGGAAAGCCGTCTACGGGGAGTTCGACGCCGTGTCCAGGACCTTCTACTTCATCGCCCTCTTCCTCTACTGCTCTCTAGTCGTGCGCATCAATTTCTTCAGAGGATTCAGGTAAGCATCTCCTCAAGGCTCATAAATCGAGCACAAGAATGCTTTTCCTTTTACCCTCTGACGTAGCATAAACTCATCATCCTTTGGAGGGAAGGTTCTCGATAGCGTGGTGGGCATACACGTTCCCGATGACGACGGCTTCCGTCGCCAGCATCAGGTACGCGGAGGAGGTTCCGTGCGCCTTCAGCAAGGGCCTGGCGTTGAGCCTGTCGCTCATGTCCTCGACCATGGTGTCTCTGTTGTTCCTGTGCACTCTTCTGCACGCATTTGTTTGGCGATCCTTGTTCCCGAACGACCTCGCGATCGCCATCACCAAGGATAGGAGCGGCGGAACGAGGTCGCATGCCAAAGAGAAGAGGCATGCAAAATAGAGAAGCTACGACATCAAGCACTGAGCCCACCAGTCCTCACTGGTTTCATCCATCAAAACATGCAATCCTGGAGGGGACAAGATTTCCGAAGATACCAAAATGATAAGAAAATATTTTACCTGTTCATGCCCTGCATGAATGAAAGGCTGATAGGCCGATACGATACTGAATATAATATATATTCTTTCTTCTGGCAAAAGTATTAAATTGGGATCGACAAATGTCATGCCAAACAAGAAAAGCTGAGCTTGCCATGGAGTTGAAGATCGGTTTTCACGATGGTAACAGTGGGACTAATATGATTCCGGTGAAGAAATAGGAAATTTTAGTTTTACAAAATTTTTACTGTTTAATTCAATCAGATGATGTCTCTTTAATTGATTTTTATGTAGAAGATCAATTTAATGAAAATATCTCTCCCCTCCATTAATTACTCTTGATTATTGTTGTCATTTTGTTGTTCTCGTCGTCACCTCCACCATCACTCTCTTCTCATCTCGAGCGTCATTTTCTTTTATCTTCGCTCTTCTTATCTCTTGAGGCAAGAAGAGAGCAAAAAGGAGAAAAGAGGTGATTAGGGTGGGTGACGAGGGGGGCGCCACTAGTAGTAGTAGGTAATGACGATGGCGATGGGGTCGACGATTGCTGATGGAGGAAAGGGGTATTTTAGTCAAGTTGATAAAAAAAGATACTCTGAGATAAAAAAAAAAATCAATTAGAGAGCATCATTTGGTAAAAGCCTAATAGTAAGATTTTTTAAATAAAATACCTAAGAAAAGATACAGTATGGCTTTATAATGATAGTGGTGGAGGAGAAAAACAACTTAGAATAGTTTTATGATGATAGTTGTGACTCAATTGCTTTGGTTAATGAGCCATCCAATGGGATAAATGATCTATCAAATTATTAAACATAAATCATTGACTCAAATTGTTAAGTATAAATTAATAGTAATATATCTATTGAAAATAAATTTAAATATAAAATTTTAGCCCGTTATTGATATGAAATCAAATTTAAAAGTCTTATAATTATAATCATTGGATAATGTATTTTAGTTTTGATCTAAAAAGTATGACATGTAGGTCGTTTGATGATATATCATGACCATCTGATTGATACATCATTCTGATTTAGATGATGACTCTACGCTAACAAGATAATTAATTCATTTGAAGATGATATTGGTAATCCTAGTGTCAAAATGAAACATTACATAATAATTGTAGCTCTAATGATTTGACATATGATCTCATGACTCAATAATAGTCGAGCTTAATTATTTCTGATGATAGGGGAAATATTTATCTTCAATCAAAACTTGACATGTGTCATCTCAATAAGTAGAAATAAGACCAAAGCCCACAAGCGTTAACCCAACCACATCAATATTTAACCTAACTAGCATTCGTCAAATCTAAAATAATCAAAAAATATTTCCTAAACTCTGTGAAATATTCCTATTGACTACTAGGAGGTATGGTGGGACCAACTATAAAAGGTGAGCTATATCACAATTATCAAGGTTGGACCATGTTCATTCTTACTTTCTCTTATTTTACTTTAGGATCTAACTGAGCTTGGTATAGCCCCCCCCCCCTCTCGACTCCTCGAGGTGTATTTGTCGATTTGGAAGAGTGCAAGTCAGATCAGAATTGAGACTAGTTGGGCAAACATTCTAGGTTAACCACTAATATTTTCCTATAATATTTTGATACAAAAAGAAGAGCCAACGTGTATAAGGGCATCGCCATGTCACACCTCGAAAGAGCCCCCAACAAAGATGCTCCACTTGCCACCTAGAGCACCTTCATCAATCTTGGGCAATAGCTAATGTTCCCTTTTGTCGACTTATCTTATCATCAAACGTCCTCATACACATGATGGCTCCCATCAAAGGCTTCCCAAGCCTAATACAGCATGTGCAAGAACCAATGAGGATGATGCACTCTATCATCCCCTTCATCTCATAGTTAGCCAAGCTTGTAGCTATGCAAATCGATAACCACAAGAGTAACTACCTACAATACTAGTGAACATCCTTAGCCAATCGTGATGCCTCCGGTGCCAAAATGTTTATCGTCAAAGGCACCATTGACAAAGGTACTCCACGGTCCCATATGGCCAAAGTGAACAAACCCCTTAATTCTTTGTCGGTGGTGCCTAACTTAAAAGTCCAATCAGTAGACTCTATTGACTATGCTATAATGACCCAAATCTAGGAGATGGATAGATGATTGGATGATATGTATTAGGATTTTAACCTCACAAAAGGAAAGAGCATGCAAAAGGTGCTTGCAAGTCACCCTCCATCCAAAAAGTCTAAGAGTGGATTCCCTTAGGCTTTTGCCTTATGTTAGAGTTACTTGATGGTAACACCAACCCAATGGAGCATGTGATCGTTTTCTATTCTCAAATGGTCCTTTGTGACACATTGGATATCTTAATGTGTTTATCCTTTCCTAATAATGCTTTGGGGCACCGTGCCAAAATGGTACTCTCATTTACAACGACTATCGATCACCTTATTTACATAGTTTGCTAAAGAGTTTGAGCAACATTTTTCGAAAGCTATAATCTCAAGCGAATCACAATAATCTTACTTGCAATTTAGTAGGGGGAGGAGGAGATGCTGGCAACCTTCGTCTCCAAGTTCACTATTGAGACTAGAAGGATTACTTATGTACATGCTTTAATCCTCATCAAAATTTTAAAATATTGATATTTTAGAAGATAGAGAACTAAGAACTCAAGGACTCAAAATGCATAATGATCCTCTCTTACTTCAAGGAGGTTTTTTATAGCTCCAGGTAATCCTTCACCTCACATACATCTTTTAACTTTCTCTATCCTTGGCTTTGTCGCTTAATCAACTTTTCATTTAGAATTTTTACCCAAAGGGCTCTCATCCGCTTTAGATAGTTACTTATGCTGCAAAGTTTGGCTAACATGTAATCTCTGACCTATTGTCAAATCTCATAGTAGTTACTCATTTAAATGAGAATTGTAAGATGCACCTAGGCTAAGCATCGATGCACCCTTTTCGAACTAAGCATTAAATGTTTCTCAATGCGTCATTCCCAGGCTAACTCGAAGATTGCCCGATATGTTCTTTTTGGGCTAAGTAATGATGGCAGCCCAATGTGTACTTCAGGAGCTATGCATCGAAGATTATCGAATGTGTCCTCTCAAGTTAAGCATCAAATATTGCCTAATACACTCTTCTTGAACTAGGCTTCAAAGACTGATCGATGCACCCTTCCCAAGATGAGAATCGAAGGCTGCTCAGTGTATCATTTTCGGGATAAGCATTAAAGGTTGCTCAATGCACAGTTACCATTAAAGATTACCTAGCATGTTCTTCTCAGGCTAATCATTAAGATTTATCAATATGTCCTTCTCGAGCTAAGCATAAAAAAGTTGCCTAACGTGCCCCCTCGGACTAGGCATCACAAATTGCTTTACAAGCCTGTTAGTAATACTTATTCGTTCGATGGATCGGTCATGACTCCTTAACATGTATGCAGGTGACCAACTTGTCAAGCCAATAGAATTGTTATGCTTTGAGAGTCCTCTAAATCAATAGATGGCTTTCTAATCAATAATAATAAAAAAAACCCATAATCATTAACCCACCCAACCATGTTAGCATCGAACACAACCATATCAGTATCCATCGAATTTAAGATACTTGGAAAGCATTCTTCCCACTCCATTGAATATTCCTCCTAACCACTACTAGGTATAGAGATACCAGCTACAAAAGATGAGTTGTACCATAATTATCAAGATCATACCCTATTCTCCCCCATTTTATCTTTTCCACTTTGGCATATAACTTGAGCGTCAGATAGGCCAAGTCGAGAGCCCCACCTGACATCGGTCTTAGTGAAGGTCAACCCCCACATTTGACTCCTGAAGATGTATTGGGCGATTTAAAAAGCTCTAAGCACAAGTCAGAACTAGGATCAAGTGGAACTAGTCAGGCATTCTAAGTCAACCATCTCTCTCATAGTTCTTTCACTATATTTCTAAATTCTCTAAATCCCCTACTATAACTTAAGAATTAGAGGAGTATTTGTCGACAATACCTCTAAGGGTTTGTATAATCGTTACCCACATCATCGACTCTAGACACAAATGCACAAGTGAACCCAACTCTTTTTATGTGTCGGAAAACTCGAATATGTTTGGTTTGTTCAAAATATTGTTTTGTGAGCATGACAAGTTACAAAAGCGATCTTGAAGCCTTCTATGATTCTTTACCAGTGAGCTTGAATCATGACACAACCCTCAAACACGTTGTTCAACCGACACCCCCTGAAGGGTACAACGACTCTTTATAACATGTTTCATCCAATGCTGGAAAGCTTGTAGAGATAATTTCGAGGTTGTCATATATCCATCATGTAACCAAGTCAGTGCAAAGCCGACAAATGCGACACAAGTCCCATTGGAACCAACTGCATGCTTAAACTAGAATCACAAAGAACATGCAGCATAATTAAAACTTGAATGCATTCACAGTGAAATTGCAATTCTCAATATAAGTCAATCAAGTCTGCAGTTTTTGAAATTTATTTTAATCGATAGCCTAGGAAGAACATGAACGTTGAAATATCTCAACATACAGTATACAGATGGTATTAACAAAGATAGCTTTTCTTTTGAGAGAAACATTAAGAAAGATAACTACCTTTTTCACTCCATCTTTAATTTCCCATCACAAATCAAACAAAATTTAAGCCCCATTAGATGTTACCAGATACAATGTATTCTCTAAACTTAAGCAGACCATGCACTAGTACCTACCTAACAATACAAAGTCATCGTCATCAAGAACCTGTACATCTTTTTCTCCCACAAAATTCTCACGCCCGAGCGCCTCCACGATGCCTAGGAATTCAAGTCTCCTCTCCAGAGGAAGTGGAACATAAGGCAACCTGAAAACTGGTCTAATCACACCAAGCTGTGCAAGAGCAGTATTAAGACCAATAGGGTTTGGTTCTCGGAACAGCCATTTTATGAGAGGCATCACCTTCGCCTTCAGTGAAGGATTCCTCCCTCGAAACATGATCTCGTGCATCAAACCTGGAATGAGGTTGCTAGCAACAGAAATAACCCCCGTGGCACCAGATGCCCACCTAGCATCATGACACTCATCATCATTTCCGCTCCATATCGTGATCCCTTTATTTACATAATCTTTGATTCGGTCATTTCCCATGCACTCCTTAACACCTGCCATATTAGGATTCAGGGAGACTTGCTGTATAACTGCAGGAGGAATATCCTGCCCTGTTCTCGATGGCACATTGTATATGATTGTTGGGCCCATTGAAAGGACAGTCTCAAAATGCGAGACCATTCCTTGCATGGATGTCTTTCCATAATAAGGATTGATATGCAATGCAGCATGCATTCCTACGGCAAAACCTTGCTCAGTTGCATGGATTGCCTCTCTCGTGGAGTTGCTTCCGGTATTCCCGATGACTTTGACTGATGAACCAAAGCAATTGACAGTGTGTCCAATGAGCATAATGTGTTCGTCCCAGCTCATGAGATGACCCTCTCCCGTGGTACCTCCAACTATTACACCTTCAGCACCGTTAACAATCTGCATGTGCATCAAGGAGTCATACGCTTCAAGGTCAAATCTCCCATCAGGCAGGTATGGGGTCTTGATGGCTGTGATTAATCTTAAGCATTTGATATCGTCAACAGATGTCCTGAAACAGCAAACACCAACAGCAGAGTTAGCATCAGAATATTAAGCAAAAACAAGTTATATATATGTATATATATGTATATATATATATATATATGTATGTATATATATGTATATATGTATATATGTATGTATGTATATATATACATATATACATATATATATGTATATATATATATACATACATATATATATATATATATC